ATATATATATATAACTTGTGGCCTATCATTATAGAAACACCAGGTGGAACCTTTTATTGGCTACGTATGTGTAAATGGAGTAACTTTGTATTAAGAACCAAAAATATATTAGGCCGTAGGCTATGCATAACAGTTTTTTTAAGAAATAAAAAGGAATGGATGAATTGACCAATTCTATCGTTTCGAATCAAAGTTCAAATCATAAAGAATTATTACAACAACAGTGACAGTGATAACGCCATTTACAATAATTTTAACAAATTGTCTGAGGCTATCAACGAAGTTCTGTTGCAGCCCATGGTGTTTTAGTAGCTAATGTTTCTAATAAAGCTTTACATTAGTGTCCGTGTTACAGGTGTACATGTAAATATAACTCATTGCGATTAAAATAAAGTGTTTAGGTAATTACAAGCTGCTCCGAAAAACAGTACACAGTAACAAAGTGGATATTTCAGTGTAAATTGAATTATTTGAGAGAAAAGAGTTGCCGAGAAAACCAATATTCACATCTGTCATTAATGCTATTAGTCTGTTACAATGTGTCATGTCTGCGCAATTCATTTGGCACACATTGCAGTTGATGGTGAATGTGATGTTGACTGACGGGGAACTGTCTGTGTCTCAGATTTGCTGGAGGACATGATGGAGAGCCGCGAGTGCGTCAACTGCGGCTCCATTTCCACCCCGCTGTGGAGACGCGACGGCACGGGTCACTTTCTCTGTAACGCCTGCGGTCTGTACAGCAAAATGAATGGACTCAGCCGACCATTAATTAAACCTCAGAAGCGTATGGTGAGCACCGACTCGATGAGCTACTTAACCACTCCATTTCCTGCCTATTTATTTCAAACAATAGCCAGAGGTTATCTGGGAACATCTTCACAGGTCTACTCCCATAATAAACGCTATTTGTATTGCATGCATTGAACATTAATTGTTTAGGCTACAAAAAGACAGTGCGCATGCATATATTTTATTGTTTTTTTAATGTAAAATTTTTACAAATATATTTGTGCAATCGAAGCCCCTTTTATTTTATTGTTTATGATTATGAAATTTACTTTGCATTAAACATCAAGTAAAAAAAATCGATTAAATTAAAATGCATTTAAACATAGATTAATTGAACATTAATTTAATCTGCCAGAAATTAACAGCCCACATCTATTTAATTCTACCACTTTGGATTCATGAATCTAAGAGACTTTAGCTTCATCATTATCAATTAATGACAATGTTAATTGCTTTTGCCTCCAGTCGTCTTCAAGGCGGATTGGCCTGTCATGCGCGAACTGCCAGACCAGCACTACAACATTGTGGCGCAGAAACGCAGACGGAGAACCCGTGTGCAACGCGTGTGGACTTTACACAAAGTTACACGGGGTAGGCTATATTAGATGTCTCATGAAAACGAGATTTGATACAATTGAAAAAAATATATACACAATTAAAATAAACAGGGGAAAGCCACAGGTGTCATTACAGTATTTTAAAATCTGATTTCATGTTTTTAGGTGGCCAGACCCCTTGCCATGAAGAAAGAAGGTATTCAGACAAGGAAAAGAAAACCAAAAACCTTGAACAAACCAAAGGGATCATCTGGTATGTTAAATAATAATAATAATAATAATAATGAAACAAAAACTCAATCAGACGAGTTCAAATCTTTAATGAATAATCCCACCAAGGTTAAGTGTGAGTTAAGTGTGTGAGAACTAACTGGTTAAAATTATTCACAGGAAGTAGTTCTGTCCCCATGACTCCAACTTCTTCATCGTCTTCTAATTCAGAGGAGTGCACAAAGAACAGTCCTTCATCAGCGCAGGTGCCTGTAACATCAGTACGTTTATACCCTTATTTTTTTCGCTGCATTTGTGTAGCAAATGTTCGGCATTACAATGAGTCAACAATGTACCAAACCTTACAGCTAAAAAGTTGCTAGTGCTTGATAAACAATTTTTCTGCATTACTCATCAAACTTGCAACACTTTGTGCTTTTAAGGCATCATACAAATAGACCGTTTCATTACAACGACTGGTTTGCTTTTTATTTGTCATGCTCACATTCTCTGGTTTGATCCAGCTCAACTCTTCAACGCTGGTGGGCCAAGTCGATGTTCCAGGCACGACGGGATCCATGGTGAAATATCACGGCCAGGAGAGTCTGTACACGAATGTAGGCCTGACGTCCACAGCTGACGTGGCAACCTCCGTTAGAGGGGACACTTGGTGCCCCATGGCCTTGGCTTAAACCCTGGCATTATGGGATGGGAGCCATTTGCTGTCCTTCAGCTCTCTAGAATGTCCCTTAAAATCTGGCAGGGTGTGGGGGTGTCATCTGTTTTTGGTCTGTGTTAGTGATCTTGAGCAGAGGCTTGATCTGTTCCAAATACTCCCGTTTTTTTTGTTTGACACGTGGAATACTGGACATCCACGATGGAGATTACCTTTGCTACTCTGCACTAGAGGACGACACTTGAGAGCGTCTGCTTTAACACTACTTTCAGAGCACACCCTGCACCATGAATGTTGCTCGGAGTGGATCAAAAATTATTTTTTGTACATATCAATGCTAACGGATACTTCGCCCATCTGGAAAGACGAGGTTGGTGATTGGATTGTGGTGATCTGAAGCGAAAACGGTTGATCTGTCTGAAACTGGAATTGAAGATGAAGTGTCAAGGTGTTCTTATCGATGAATGCAAACATATTTATGAAGCTACGGTTGTTCAAATAATGCCTATATTTGTCAATAAAGATCATGTCAAATAGAGTAGGACTGAAGCCTTGCCCTTCCTTTGATATCTTTTGTTTCAAGCATGATGTTGTTGCAGTGGATGTTGCTCACTAATCTGCACACCTTCTATGTGAAATTTAAAAGAAAACGAGAAAAAAAAGCTCTTAGAAGACTGAACTGTTTTGTGATGGTTTAACACCGGGTATCAAAGATCACAGGAACTCACACGAGGCTTGTAGTGTTTTGTTCGATTACGCATTTGACTAGAGATCACTATTACATGAAAATGGTCTAATCAAAATTCATAGTAAAGAAAATCAGTTTGTTCTTTCGAACATACGTGGAGAAATCCAGCTGGGGTAAATCATCAATGAAGCATAAAGCATAAATAAAATGACCTTTATATCTCTGTTAGAACAAACGGCGCTCAGGATTTCTTTTCTGATGCATTTTTTTTGTTACAATACAAAACTGCAAAAGAGTTTTGCTGCAATGATTTCGGATGTAATACTACCTAACGTATGACATTGATGTGTGAATATCAATGCATATCGCTGTTTATTAGTTTTTTTACTTTCAGCGTGATACACTTCTATGGTCACTACTTTAGCTGATGAAGGAACAATGTTAAATCTGCATCTCGCTTTCACAAATTGTTGAATGTTTTAGAGAGAAAAATGTGTGCCAGAATCAATCAGTAGTGAACGTTTCTTGAGAGTTACTATCTAAACCAAAAACATAATGCACAATGACAGTAATGAATGAGCTATCTAAAGAGTTTAATTCTCTGATGAAAGAGTCAGTCTCAAGTGGTTTTGGTGTCCATGATTTACTGCCTCTGATCTGTTAAACAGTTACCCAACTACAAGTTTCCCATGTAAACATCTTATGGCTTTGAAATGGGGGATTAAAGGAGCACCAGAAGAGCCTTCTTCAAATGATTACTTCTTAGAGTAGCAGAGTAATTCCATGACAGTGACATTTTTGGACAAGCTTTTTGTGTCATAGAGACAATGTGTGAACAAGACAAGAAACATTTTGCTATCATTGTGATTCTCCACCCTTATAACCTCTAGAATTATTTATTTCTGCAATGTAGTGTGTTTGTTAGAGGTATTTGTTTATTTTATTTGAATTAACGTATTTGTACGGTTGTTTTTTTTTTTTGTTGTTGCATAATTTCAGTTCCACATTTTTTCAATTATTGCCATCTGGGTTAAACAGATTTATTTGTTATGGTTTTGTCTGGAAATGATTCAAATTATATGTTGAATTGCAAAGTGTGTTTTCCTTCTTTTTGTAGATTTTAAGGTTCAAACCTTCTATTTCTTATGAAAGGTTCTTTGTACTCATCACATGAACCACTGGAACCACATTATTTGTACTTGTGATAATTGAATCAAAATGATTTTCCATTTTTATTGTCATCACCAGTCATGAAGCAAATTTTTATGGTAAAAATGTTCTTAAACCATTGACTCTCCCAATTGTTTTCCAGTGACAAGGATGTCATTGTTGGATTTTTTTCTTCTTTTCATCAGATTAGTTCATTAACACTGGAACAATAAATAAGAGCCATGACTAAAGTGGTTGTTTTTCCCATCCGTTATTTTTGTTGTATTCAAATTGTTTTAATTGAATCGAGTATTAATCAATATTGTTAAATAAGCTTATTTTTGCATTGATTTTCTAGCCACTCATAGGCCAGCTGTTTGCTCATGGATCAGATTGTTTTGTTTGTTGGTACCTTGACGCAAATTAAAAACTTGAAATTTGTATTTCAATAATAGTCACTTTTCAGATATATTTGTATTTCTTTTGTTTCTTTTATTATAATCACATTAGTTTAGTTCATGAGTGATACACATGATCACAATATTGACCTAAAATTGCCAGAATTGAATTTGGGTCAGTAATGAACATCATCAATGTTAAAATGAAATATTGTGTGACACGTTTCTAGTGCATGTGAAGACTTCTTAAGCCAGAGCCCAGCCCAAATGAGTTATTGGTTTATGTGAACTCTTGACATTTGAATGTGCTGATCTTTGCCTTAAGGTTGCACTTTGATATACAACGGATTGATGACGTCTCGGCTCCAATAGATTGCAGCTCTCTGATGTAATTTCTTGTGCTGTTTGTGATTCTGGTGAATCAAACCAATAGACTCGGCATGCTTTGACGTACTGATACACCATGTTGACAACATTTCTTTTGCTTCGGATCACTGAAAGGAATCTATGCGGAAAGAACAGAGACCCAGAACCAGTTATTGTATTGTTTCTTTGTCATAAACGTCTTTTTTTGTAGTACATCCAGTATATATGATCACCTCATTTGTTTCAAATCTTTCTTTACATTGTTTCAAATTCAGTTAATGTTTCGGTTTTGTCTAAAATCGTAAATCTCTTTGTCTGTTTGTTGGTTGCAACACCATAACACCAGCCCAGACTAGTATTTCCACAGAGCAAGAGTTGCTCCCTGCTGCCCTTTTGAACTACATTTGCCCTCTTTGCTTCAGAGAGAAGTACCAGCCACAACATAAAGCTCAATAACTCAGAAACACACTCCATTAATAACAGCTTTGGCACAGCCCAACAGAATTCACTTAGACTGCACTAACGTCACATTACATTCCAGCTCTGCTCTCCTGTCACCTATCGCTCCAGCGTTGATTAAGATTTATTCTTATGCATTCTGGTTATCTGCCCAGGGTGTATGACATATTGCTATGCGGTTTATTGGGGGCTGGGATCTGTGAAGGATTTCAGCAAATTCTTCTCTTTGTGATTGAGGGCTGGGAGTGGCAATCTGTGCCAAGACGCTCCACGCAAGCGCGGTTCTGGAGGTACAATCTGATATGGCATATCCGACTGCTTCTTTCAATGTGTAGGATCTGTAATACCAGAACAACACACTGCAAAACAAATCATATTATTAATGAGTATTTTGCCTCAGTATCTGTATGTGAGTATATGATAGTGCATGTCTCAATTTTTGTCCAAAAGTGTCAAGTGTAAATATCTAAAAAGATATATTTAGTGGAGAAGAAACATTGCTTAAGACCTGTTTTCAGAAACATCTAATACAAAGCTATATTTTGTCTTACTACACTGGAAGATTTTTTATTTACTTGTTTTATGTGTAAACAAGTAAAGACAGGCAGTACAGATAGACAAAACAAACACAGTCAAAATGCAGTATATGAAAACCTAATGTAAAAAGCAGTGCTACTTCTCAAGTAAATGTATCATGTTTTGAGTATTTTTAGATATTTTTACTGTTTTTTAATTTTTTTACTTTTTATTTTTTTTGCAGTCCAGAGCTATTTTTTTTATCCATGGGATGACACTTGAGACATTTAGTGGGGTTATTTGTTTATAGTTTATCAATTCTTGAGACAGAGAGAGAGAGAGAGAGAGAGAGAGAGAGAGAGAGAGTGTTATATACTAAAAAAAAAACAAACATGATTTTAGCTTTAAAAATCCTATAAATGCTGTATGATTTACTTTCATTTCACTTAAAAATTGGTAGTACATTTTACAAATAATTGCAAAGAAATGGCAAGTAACACATTGAATTAAATGTGAAATTTTGAAGTAGAAAGACTAAAAAAAAAATTTATTGTAAAATATGTTGCAATAATCTTTGTTTTTTTTTCAGTGTACTGTAAAAATTTTAATTGGTTAATGGTAAATTCCCTTACTCTGTTGAACTGTAATATAGATCTAATGGGACATTTCATGGAATTTTCAGTAAATACAGAGGTTAAATACCACTAAATACAGTTTTCTGAAATGGAAAAAGAAAAGGACATCTTATAATATATAGTAAAAAACAGTGTTGGGGGTAACGCATTACAACTAACGCGAGTTACGTAATCAGATTACTTTTTTCAAGCAACTAGTAAAGTAACGCATTACTTTTTAATTTACAAGAGAATATCTGAGTTACTTTTTCAAATAAGTAACGCAAGTTACTTTTTTTTTTTAATTATGCATTAAGTCACAAAAAAACAAAACAAAAAACAGATTCAGTATTCCTCAAAATGAATAAAAATAATGCAAATAATGCAA